CACGTCAATTAATCCGCAAACACTCTGAATTGTGTGGGTACAAGGCTGTTTCTTGCCGCGATCGATGACAACAAAATGCCGCCAAAAAAAAAAAAACGGCTAGGGTCGATCAAGATTCAAATTTAAGTTGGACAGATGACGAAGTTGAACTTCTGCTCGGAGTCGTCCGTGCATACTCCTTCCAAAAAGATTACGAAGGCTTACAATGGGAGAGTATCAAAAGCAAATACGAAGATATCAGCAACGAGTTCGTCACAATGTATGAACAACATGATGGATTGCCTCATGATGTCGGCCTGTTCACCCGAGAAAGGATAGCAAACTCTAAAGATTGCAAGCGGAAAAGTACTCAGATTCGTTCATCAAATCGTTTACAGGAATCAGCTTTCCGGATTTAAAAGTTTTCGGATTTGATGTTCTAGCGTTAAATTTAGGATACGAAATCTCTGGAAACACGAGTAAAGAGGGATGGTTTTATTTCGAATTTGTCTACTTGTGGCAAAAAATGGCAAAACGAATTCGGTATATTAAAACGTACCTCAGAAAGGTATAGAGAACAATATGGAGACCATGCATGTTAGGATGTGAAGGGTCAAGAAAGTCGCCCCACCCGATCAACCCTACTCAGTCCGTCGCATTTCTCGCCCTGAGTCAGTTTACTTCGAGTTCTCATTTCTTGTGACATTAAGCATTGTCGTGGTTGACGGCTAAGATTGTTTTGTTATAAATTTTCCTACAGAACAAAGCACAATGAACAGCTTTATCAATCAATTTCACATTCTTCGAAAGAATGTTTATAATTAAGAGATGAAATAGATGTCATCAGAGATTTTGAAATGACTCTAAGAAAAACTAATGAACTGTTCTCTCTCAGGGATGCTTTGGTTATCTCCCTTGTCAACTGCTGCACCAGCCTGTTTGCGGGCTTTGTTGTGTTCGCCGTAGTGGGCCACATGGCATATATCCAGGGGAGCACCCCAGCGGAAGTGGCCTCTCAAGGTACATTACTTAATTTTAAAGTACGGTGTCACGACATTCCTGGCCATAACCATTTTCACAAAAGTCGCTTCTTACACTCTTTATCTCAGCGGTATATAAAACTCCTTTCACAACGAAACCCCGTATATGATCCGGTACATCATCGAGTTATGTGTCACTCAGTTCGTAGAGCATCCGACGGCAAGATCGAAAGATCCGATAGTTCGTAACCTCACGAGAAACTAAGATCTCCCAGCGCCCGACGCTTCCGAGAGAAGTTCGAAATCTATCTACATCACCTCTCTAAAGACCACTTTGGGTGTCCGGACAATTCGCCCCATTTCAAGTTCGACTTCTGACCAATTCGCCCCATCTTGACGCATTCGCTGTGTCAAATTTGACGGGTTAACCCCTAAATCTTTCGAGCCGTTTCCTCACACTGTTTTTCCTTTAAAATGCCTCAGCATCAATCAATATCGTCTTCAACGTACGCACTCGCGCAACACAGAGGCCACCGAGATTTGCCTGATGATGAAATTTATCATGATTTCGTTAAAAAGAAACACGTTTTGTTGTGAGGTAACGTGTTAAAGATTTTATGGTGAACTACAAAAATTTGAGCGAACTTGTTGTACTTGATGAGGCGAACTGACAAAAGGCGAAACCTACATTAAACCCACTGTACACAAGAGATCATGGTTGCATGCATGGAATTGGGTTAAGACAATAATTATTAAACGCAAGTTTGTTTAAAGCATTATACATCAATAATGGACCGACATTGCTTGTTATTTAACCTGCAGGTCCAGGTCTGGTGTTTATTGTCTACCCAGCCACTTTAGCAGAACTTCCCGCACCACAGATCTGGTCTGTGATCTTCTTTCTCATGCTTATAACCCTTGGTCTCGATAGTCAGGTAACTGAAGGCTATCTTTTGCCCCGTTCACAGCTGAAAAACATGTTTAGCTTATAAAACCAGTTTTAATTAAAAGAAAGTCAGCGACAGGAAACTGGAAAACTGAATTTTAGAGACTGGGCTATCATTAACTTGTGTTTTCATTGTGCTAAATTTGAAGTCGATAAAGAACAGGTAAAGCAACTATCAAATCACGCTCATGGTCAGAAAAAAAGTGTTTGGTTCTTCAAGCTACATGGTCTCTCTGGCTCGGCCAATCAGATACGACTTAACTCACCATTCGTGATTTAGTCGTACTCATTTTCCGGCCCTTGATATGTGGGTTAGCAAGGAAACTGGCTGCTCTGACAGCACTTATAATCATTTCTGAGCTCTCACTTACGGTTTCGGTACATTAAGCTTTTCTGAGTTGCACGTAGAATTCAGACTTGATTTATTTACCTGATAAGGTTTTATTTCACATTTTTATTTCACCCGTACTGTGCCTTTCCCATTTGGAACTTATCAGTTTGGACAAGTAGAAGTAGTAGCAGCCGCCATCATTGACCAGTACCCCGAGATACTACACAGATACAGGGAAGCTGTTGTATTGGCCGTGTGCCTGATCATGTTTGTTTTGGGTTTACCTTGTGTGACACAGGTGAGAATATAATATGTGCAATTAACTTGGTTCGCTGCTCCCTTTCTGAAATCCCAACAAAAATTTGTAACGCCGAGTGAGGTTCTCCTGAGAAGGACTGTTGTCGGCTGTGACCCACGTTTCAACAACCTAAACCGACCAATCAGCTCACTCGAACCGGACTTATAACTTCACTCGACCCGGACGATGACTTCCGCTAAGGTTGTGGAAATGTCAGTCACCACTACCGACAGTGTCAGTCTTTCTCAGGACTACTGTCACCCGGACGATCAGACTACGCGATCAGATGTAATCCCTACTCCCCCCTCCCACTCCCCGCCATCTTTTGACACAGTTCACGATGATTTTTTTTATATCCGATTTCATTCTCGGAAAGTTACAAACCACCCATATGGTTTCATCTTTAACCTCATACACCCTAATATCAGTATGCATAATCTCCATACTGTTCTCATACATTTCTCAAGGAGAATTTGTTCAGTAATCAAGAATTTCTTCAGTTGGTGATCATTGCCTTTTTGTGACTTTAATGCGTGATTCAGGGGTGATATTTTAAGGAGAAATTAGATGGTAATCACTATTTGAAATCAAAAAGGGTTACGATTCTATTGACGAGCACAAATTTGAAACTTGTTTAATTCGAAAAGTGTCCGAAAACTTCCGAAAGATTTAATCTAATTTAAATATCTCTCTTAATGTAATTTCAGGGAGGTATATACGTGTTCAACTTGCTTGATTCGTTTTCTGCTGGAATTTCGTTACTATTTTTGGTAATATTTGAGTTGATGGTTGTCGGCTGGATTTATGGTGAGAATGACACATATTCAAGTAATTTTATTCTATTGGTCTGGAAGAGGAAACCCTCATTATTCAGCACTACAGGATGTGCTCTTGCCAATGCGCTAATAAGTAAGACCTGCTCCCAGTTGATGTTTTTGCCCAATTTTATCCTCTAGAACGAATTTCACTGCGTTCTCTCTTTGAAAACCTTTGTCGTCATTGAATTACTGTAGGCCCACATTTACCACACTTTGTTGGTCTTTTTTTGCATGATACCGATTTACACAAATTAAACTTTTTCATTGAGATTGATGAACTAAAAAATTTGTCTAATTAAACTTAGCATTACATCGTCGACATTCGGCTCATTCTCGCAGGGTAACCAACTCGTATTTAAATATTTAGTACAAAGAACCACTTCTGTAGAATAAAGGGGGTAAGCTTCTATAGAAACTATGGTACTGCGTCGTCTTTTAAACTCTTAACGGTGATCAATTTACGTTATCTACTCGGTTGATAATACTAAGGTACTTCTGAAGAATAGTTGCAAATAACACTCGTTTACTCGTCACACTGTTGATCATGCAGGAGCGCAAAACTTCGCAGAGAAAATCGCGAGAACTATTGGGTATCCTGTGTCCAAGTGGTGGGTGATCTGTTGGAAGTTTGTCTCGCCTGTGATGGTGATTGTAAGTAAATAAAGATCAAACTTCTTTTACGCATTGTATCTGTCATAGCTTTCATTTCGTGATTAAGTTTATAAATCACTATAAATAATTTGGGAACGGCTCATCTTCAGTTACAATAATCACTAAACACGAGAATCTTGGCAGTAGGGTCAGAATGATAAAATAATAGGATTACCATAATTACCGGGAGATCTGAAGTTAAGATTTTACAGAAACTCGTTCAAGAAACATGGGATCATACGCGACAAAAACGTGCCTTGTTTCAAGCCTGCTATTTTGTGTTTTCACTGATATTTTTGACTCGCACGACGGACTTTGCCGAAAGGCAGAACTGCTCGTAGTCTAAGATTTGCTTACCCCACCGGTTTTATTTCAGGGAATCTTCCTGTTCAGTGTCATCAAGTATCAGCCCCTGAAATACGAGGAAAGACCATACCCTAAATGGGCTGAGGGCCTGGGTTGGATCATAGCCTGTGCCTCTATGTTGTGTGTACCCATCACCGCTATCAAAGTGCTCTGTAATGATGAAGGCTCTTCTTTAGAGGTGTGTTAACCTTCTTGGAGTGTTTTTATGCATTAGAATATCAAAGTGAAAAAAGTGCATTAAAGTATAAAATTCTGGGTGGAACTCTCACCAATTGGTATTCACTTGTAACGCAAAAAAAAGAAAGTTGTATAGACTGAAAGAACAGAAGCTGTGCATTCACAAATGAAAAAGATTTGATAGCTATTGGGTTTTTCTTAACAATTTCTCAATTAATTTCATAAATTCCTCAATTTCTCAATTAATGTGTAACATTTGCATTCCCTCCCTACTGTGGTAATCAATTTCACCCTTCTTTTCCTTCTCTGTCTTTTTTACTTTTTTCAGAGACTTCAAAGCACAACCTTCACAGAAGGTGTTGTTCTTGAAAAGATGGAAAGCAACAAAGGAAATAAGATGATTGGCTGACCTTTTAAAAAAGAAGACGCTTGCAACACATGCAAAGCTTTAAAATACACTAAAACTTTGTGTATTTGTTTTCATTTCATGCAACTACCTCATGCACACATTTGTAAGGAAATAAAGTGTTCTTCACAATGTTTTGTCAATGATAAACTTGCACATAATTGCACAAATACAGTCTTTGACAGTGTTATCATTTGGAGTCCCATTTAAAGGTCTTCTTCATGACAAAAGATCCAGAAAAATAAGAAAATGATGGAGACATAAGAAGCCTAGACAAAAAATACAGTACTAAGGATTATTTTGCCCTTCTTCCATGTATATATGTCACAAAAATGCCCCTTTACATTCCTCTCTCTTAAAAAAAAAAGCCACTTATCCAGAAAATAAAGTTTCTTATTCACCCCCCTCCATAATAAAACCCCTTCCCAACTTTCCCTCCAGACAATGCTCAATCTGGAAGCCCCCACAGGGAGAGTGAGGGTGAGGGGGAGGGTTATTAAAGCCTCCATAGAATATTACAGTGACTGATTAACTCAAGTCTGGCATAGGGAACACATCACTGAATAGTCATATCAGGATGCTCCCATATCTTACTAGAGGCTACCACAAAGATTTCCTATCTGACATAGAAGGAAAATGTTCATTTAGAGCTCTACCATCTCCCTATGTGGAAATGCTTCCCAATTTGTAAAACAACTGGTCACTGTTTCTGAGGCAGAGGCAAACAAGAAAATCGTAGTGATCTAACAATGAATGCAAAATTCTTAAAGCAACCATTTGTAAATCATATGCATCTGAACTTGATCAACATAAACTGCAAACATTTCACCACATTGGATCCTACCTCTTTAAGATGATAGGTACATTCATAGTGCAGAGGAATAAACACTTAACAATATGCTTCAATCAATGATTATTAGGACTATTTGAGATCGATCACCAGTTTTTATGACCAAAGTAATGTGGTATTGGTTGTCTGTAATACATTGATTATAAACCTAATAATATTCATCATTCACCAACACAACCACTAAGAAAATCAAAACCTTTGAAATGACATTAGGACACAATTCAAGGTAGATACAAGACTGAGAGATTGTCATTTTTATACAATTACATTAACTTTCTACAAATAACTGATAATTTATTTACAATCTGTAGTTAGTAAAGTTCAAGAAAACTTCAAACTTGGCTTTTCTTTTTTCAGTAGCTCTACAACTTGTCAATATTGCATGTTCTCACATACAGTGCTGGTGTATCACCAGTCTTAAGAAAGAAAAAATCTCTTCTTCCATTCAGCGAAGAGACCTTTAAAATGTGAGTTTCTGTAAAATCATTGCTATGATTTTGGAATGACAATTTGAAATTTACCTGTAAAGCAAAGTAGAACAAAGTCAACCAAACCCAGATAAAGTAGGAAAGATTACAAATAATTAAAACTAAAACCAAAAAGATTTGTGACATCATTTAAAACTCAGCATTCACAAATGTTTAGCAGTTCTACAACACTCAATTGCAAAGCACTTTCACACAACCTGATCACCTGGAATGGGACTAACAACTGACAACTGAGCCCAGTTGTTCAAAGGGCAGATAAAACTATCCATCAGAGTGTTCAAAAAATATATTGCCCTATCTCCCAGATACAGATTTATCCCATGGATAGCAATATCCACCTTACAAACAACTGGTGCCTGATGTACAGCCTTGCAAGCTTATTGTAATGCTGCTATATCTCCAACCTTGCCACAGTGTAAATGAAGAGATGATAACTTACATTTAGGCATGGATAACACATCCGCACTCACTGAACAGGAAAGACCAAGGTTTGATAGAGCTCCTCTTATAAGACCACATGGAAAGGCTAGGAACTGAAAAAAAATGTATATTAAAACACAATGTGGTCTGTGAACTACTAGGCAGAGATCCCTAATCTTGGCTAAAAATGCAATAAACTAGTATGGCAAGCTGAGTCTACACACTGGTACACTATCGCTAAGATGTGTACATTCTATCATTTTTAATCCAGAGCTCTCAAGTTGATTGGCAAGGAGTGAGATGCTGTTAGCATCAACTACCTGAGAAGGGGGGTATGGGACAGCTCCCCATAAAATTGTTAAAAACTGATGAAGTAGCTAAGACATGTATTCTTTTATTTGGAGAAAGAATTTCGGCTGTTGGAAAGTGTTCAAACCAAGTAGAAAGGAATAAAGGACTAAATTATACTTTTAAATAAAGATAATTTATTTCATTGCTATTACGCTAAAACAGGATTTTGTGATCTAAGAATGAACAGTTTAAACAAGAAACCATAAAAGCATGAGAAATAATAGTTTCAGTGTGAGAACATAAGATTGAATTTGTTTGTGTGAGTCTCTAACTCAATGCATGAGAATTGAGAATTAGACCATAGATAGTGGCTTTTGGAATAGTTGTAACTCCCAGAAGTGATTTGAGTGTAACTCCTCACAAGTTGGATACAGCGTCATTTCAGATAGATATATGCATTGTCTAGAAAGTGATATCTTCATCTTGAATTAACACTTTCTTCTCCTTACATATTTACATGAAAGTGTTTGGAGCTAAAAAAATGAAAATTAGAAAGCAAATTTTGCAAGTTAAACCTTGGGTGCATCCTCTGTATATTGCTTTCCATCTGACATCTGTGTCAACAGCTGAAAATTATTGTCTTGGAGCACATATGTACCCTTAAGTGAAAAATAAAAATATTAACAATTATTAATAATAATAATAACTAATAATAGGTGATTATCACATGCTATGGTAGCACTTGTTCAACTTTGATTCCTCTTGTAGATAATGCAATTTAAGAGTTGAAAATATCCCCAATGTAAGCAAAGTTTACATTTACATTTATTACCTGATGGTTTGTTCGTAAATTGTCAATTTGCTTCTTATAAACAGCTGTCCAGAAATCTTTACAAATGTACTTCATGATCTCAAGTTCATCCTTAAAACGACCTGAATCTTTAGTGAATCTACAAAGTGATTGAAGAGCCATGATTATTCAAGTTTCTGTAAATCACTGGATTTACAATTTGAAAATTGATATATTTATGGACTTGGATGGGATTCCACAAAATGAAAGATCCCAGCAATAACCCAAAAGCAACAGTCTGTAGCACATTTGACTAGGGAATCATAACCCATACACACTTGAAACAAATATATAATTTTTAACCCTTTAACCTTTAAGGGTGAAGAGCTTCTACTTTCTCCTTTCAATATTACCCCTGCGATCACATATAAGGTTGTGAGAATACAAGGAAATGATCACCAACTACAGAGACTCTTGATTGTGAAACAACTTCTCCTTATCAGCAGGCTACGAAATATATGAAAAATAGTTAGGAGAATATGTATACTGATGTTAGGGTGGTAAAGGGTCGAGAAGGATCAAATATCCTTACCTTTCCACAAGTCTTTGCCCAACTCCAAACCCAAGGCGTTCAAGATTTTGTATAACATCATTCTAAAAGGATCAAACACGACAATTACTATCACCATTTATGTTTCAGTTATCTTAAATTAATCTAGAACAATTTGGAATCAAAATAATACTCACATCGACATTTTTTCCAGGTTTATTGAGAAAGTACGCCACAATTTCCATGTGGACGAATTCGAACAGAGATTCAACATCCGCCATTTCTTTACAGCCCAGGAAGGGCCTGGACTCCGGTGTATATATCTGTACCAGGCCTCACTCTGCTTGTGTCAGAGGACGAGAAGATGGCAGACGCGGAAGGTCATGACTTCCCTCAAACAAGCTGCAACATACGAAGATCAATGCAACAGAATTTACAAATTTTTGATTCAATCCGTGGAAAAGAAGTTAATATTCCCTTCTGGGACATAGTTGTGATTACTGCTCTTGATGAAGGTCAAAGAAATGCCTATGATCTTCAACTTAAGTCCAAGCTCGCGCGAGGAGAATTACCCCTTGGGGTAAAATATCATGTGTTCTATGACCCGCCCGGGCCGAAAATCGGTAACGGCGGATCAGTACTTGTCACTATTGGTGATCTTTTAAAGATTTATGAAGAGAAGGAGTTGATGAACTCGAAGATCATTATGTTACCTGCTGGAGGTTATAGCCAAAGATTGCCAAACGCAAGTGTTCTGGGAAAAGCATTCACTGCCCTTCCCATTGGTAAGTTTAAAAAGTTTGAAAAGTATTAACTGCGTGGAGTTTTAAATTTTGAATTAAGATCTTTCTATTCTGGTATTTATTGTGCATTTGCCATGTATCTTCACGTCAATTTTTCTTCATGCATATTTATTTACAGTATGAACACGTAAAGAACTTTCTCATGAGCATTCGAATAAAAATGTTTTCCTATAGAAGTGACATATTTGTCTAATCTTGATACTTATTCACACCAGGCATCTTTTTGGCAATATTTTATAAAGGAATATCACATTTGCAAGAAATATTGAGTATAAATTTTCCAAAATTTGAAAACTATTATTTGCTGCAGGTGAATGTTTTCATGGCTGGAATGTTTCCAAAGAAACTATCCCTTCAAATAATCCTTTGTTTAATTTAATACATGTACGTTTTGGCTAATTATCTTTTGGTGTCATACAGGATATTCTTTTTTATGGGTGAGCATCAGTTGTGATGTTTCTTATTTGTGAAATCAAACATCAGAAAGAAACTGATGGTGTTCGTTGTCATACAGAAATGTTTTTTTTCTTTTTATGGGTAAGCATCAATGATGTGATTTTTCTTCTTTGTGAGATCAAATATCAGGGAGAAACTGAATCCAAACTTCAGTTTTTCAACATCATTTATGGCAGTTTCTTCAAAGTGGTGTAGGACACCATGGGAACAGAATGAGGACTTGCTTATAATCTACAATGGAAGCTAATGATTGTGTTAAACACCTGCTTTAAATTGATGCAGGTTTCACTTTAAGAGAGAAATGATAACAAGAAAAGGCTAACTAGAATGTTTCCAAAGAAACCATCCTTTCATAAGACTCCTTTTGTTAAAAAATAACGGTTTGTTGATTGGACATTTGTTGTCATACAGAATTTTTTTTTATGGATAAGCATCAATTGTTTTATTTTTTCTTCTTTGTGAAACCAAACACCATGGAGACATCATTTTTGGAAGTTTCTTTAAAAAAGTGGTCCACGTCACCATGGGAATGGAATGAGTAATTGCATATAATCTACAAAGGAAGCTAACAATTGTGTTAAACACCTGCATTAATTTTAATACAAGTTTCATTTTGAGAGAGAAATGATTACAAGAAAAGCTTACCAGACTGTTTCTCTGGAAACAATTCATTAAAAATACTCCTTTGGTTAAAAAATAATGTTTTGTTGAGTGGGCGTTTATTGTCATTCAGAATGGTTTTGATGGGTAAGCAACAGTTGTGTGATTTTTTCTATATAGTGAAACCAAACATGAGTGAGGAACTGAATTCAAACTTAAGTTTTTTTAACATTAGTTTGGGCATTTTTTTCAAAATGGTTTGGTCACCATGGGTATGGAATGAGGACTTGGTTATGATGTACAATGGAAGCTAATGATTATTTAAACACCTTTTGTGTAAGTTAAATTTTAAGAGAGAAATGATTACAAGAAAAGGTTTGGGTACCTATGTGATGAATGTACCATGAAAGGCAGTGAAGAGAGTAAAGAACAGTTAGTATAATATATTAGAATTCAGTTTTATATTTAACCCTTTAAATCCCAAGATCCAGTTGTAAATTCTCCCTTCAAAATGCTACACATTTCCTTGTAAATTAGTGATAAGAATTTGGAGTTAGTTCAAGATATTAACTTCTACTTGATAAATTTGAGTATTCTTATTATCTGTTTGCTGGAAGATGTATGAATATTATAGGGAGAAGTTGCATCCTAATCACTTCTGTGAGTTTAAGGGTGAATTGCTGACTTATATCATGGTTTAAAAGAATGAATGAGTTGAATGGTGTCGTAAAACCAAATGTTGCTTTTTTCAAAAGAGAAAGCTTAAAAATAGCTTTTGATGATGAACAGCTTTCTAGAAATTTGTACAAACATTTTCATGTTGAAACAGTTTTTTTGTCCTTTAATTATTTGTTTCTATTAAATCTTTAATTTTAAATAAAAATTTTTGGAATTAGAAAATAAAGGAAAATGTTACAAAATGATTATGAGAGAGTAATTGCAAACTGCTTTCTTTCTTATTGTTGGTTTTCAATGAGAGTAAGAAGTATTTTTCTCTGAATGGTCATGGTCATGTAGTCTAAAATCTTTTAGAAATATTGAAAACAACATTTTTTGGGTGTGGAGGGGGGGGGCAAAGGAGTGATGCTTCTTAACTGAACTCAGGGTAGGGATGATGTGATACCCTTTGGTCTCGCCTGGGGTGTCCAGCATGAAACTCCCCCCCTCTTAATTGTTAAATCCTTCAGAGCTACAAAGGAAAGAAGATAATAATAATTAGAGTTCTCAAAAAGGCGTTTTAAATATAATTTTCTTGATGCTTTTTACAACTAAAAGGAAGAGCTTAATCACAGGTGCATTTTCAATGCCCTTTTAAAACTATGAACAGAGTTACTTTGTCTAATGGCAAGTGGCAGCTGATTCCATAACTTCAGAGCAATTGCCGCAAAAGATGCTGATTTAGAACAAAAGAATATCATGTCAATTGAACTGTCAATAATCATGATACAGGACCAAATTCTCACAGTTCAACCCATGTTGAGGATTAAAAGTTTCCTAAAAGATCTAATAGATGAAAATTTCCTCCTTTCATATTGCTTTGGCAGGCGATCCAACTTACCAAATGTTAGAACTTCAGCTTGCTATGTTTATTGAGTTTCCACGACATATGAACCCAGGCATCTTTGTGGCTGCTTCGGATATCCTAGTGGTTTTTAATAGTGAAGGAGATTGGTCATTCACTAAACCAGGCTTCACAGCTTTGGCTCATCCATCTCCAATTCATATTGGTACAACACATGGTGTATTTGTTCTTAATGATCATGAAAAGTTAGCATCTGTTCAGGTTAGTGTGGATGCAATATGAAAGTTTTGCAGGATTTAAGTAAATGCTACAGATTTTGCATGGTGGTCAGCAAACCCAACCTCCTTCTAATCAGGCACCTTTCAACACAACACTGACCAACAGTCAGTGTCAGGAATGAATACCCATTCAAAAGTGGAAGGGGAGGGGAGGGTGAGGTAGAGGAAACACGGTAGGTAAAGTACCTAAGGGAAATAGATAAAATACATCGCAATGTCCTGGCAAACCTCCTTAGGGCCTTGCACATTCCATCAGTGAAACAGCTACATTGACTTGGTTTTAACCTTGCATAAGTTAGATTTAGTCTTAGCTTGTAACAAAAAAAAAAAATGGAAAATGCCCTTAATATGAAAATCTTTTTATTGTTATTGAGTGTCAGTTGGAATTCCTTAAAATACATTTGCTATCACTCAAAATAGTCTTATAGCCATCATTTTCTTTGTAGCACTCTTCACCTCAAACCAAAAAGTTAGTGTGAAAATGTTACTTTGAATTATTTTCTTTGCTGATATGTGGTGTAACAACTTTTGGAATTTCTCAACATTACCAAATAAATGAAACGTTACTTTTCATTTTGTCCATCAGGCTGGCTGCCCAATCACTCAAACAACATGTAAGAAATTTCTCCACAAACCATCAATGGACATAATGAGAAAGCATGGCATTGTATTCCTCTGTGATGAACAAGAGTATGTTTACACTGACAGTGTCTTTTTTGTGGACTGGAGAACAGCCAAGAATCTCTATGACTTTTCACAGCAGATCCAACCAATTGACTGTGAAATTGATGCTTATGGTGATTTCTTGCAAGCTCTTGGGCCTGAGGCATCAGCAGATTACACAAAGAATGTTGCCAATGTCACAAAGGAGACTTCCTCTTTGATTTCAAAGAGGAAGAAGATTTTTGAGTTCCTGAAAGGAACACAATTAAATGTGTTGTTACTTAATGAATCCAAGTTCTACCACTTAGGCACCACTATGGAATGTATTCACCATTTCTGCGACGACAAAGTTTTTAGGTAAGAATTTAATAATCAACAACAACAAATCTAACAAATACCAAGAAAATTATATCTATGTAATACTATATAAATATGTAGTTGTTTTTTTCCGTTCTATAACAAGTGGTTTGTACACTAAGTTCCTGATTAATTTTGTAGCAAATTAGAGTGGCTAGTTTCCAATTTCTTGATACAGTATCACCCTTGAATCAGATGTAAGGTTATGAATGTAAAGGAAATAATCTCAAATTTAGGAAGCTCCTGATTGTCAAACATATTCTCCTTGTCAGTATCAGAAGAAATGTAAAGAGAACAGTGTGGAGAATATAAATACCAATTTTAGGGTGGAAAGGGTTAATAGCCAACTGCCCAGACCTTGATACTTGATACTGGAGATTGTTTAGTGTGAAATTGGAGACCAAACCATTTGAGACAAATAGGATTTTTCTCTCTCTTGTCAGCATTTTGAACAATGTACATAATCTACATGATCTTCATGTTTTCCTTTCTCATCATTCTCCTCATTCATTGTTTGTCCTTTGATCTGTGAAAATGCTCTTGCAGAGGAAACAAAATTGAAAAATTAATCTCAGGTTAGGGAAGGTAAGGAGGGGCTTAATGGAAAATTTAGGCGGTGGCCTCAAAAGATAAGGCCCCAATACTGTGGATCACTGACATCAAAGGGATATGCAGGACACCCTTCCTCTTTCAGGTTGAGGCTTAGTACAGGAATGAACTGAATTTGTGATAGAGATAATGGTAGGTTGTGACTGAGTGAATACTTTCCTGTTCTTAACTTTTTGTGTGTTTTTGTTTTTACCAGATACGAAAGTCACTTTCTCTCAGAAGTAATGGTGCAAAGAAGTGGTCCCAGTGAGGAGAAAATCACCACTGATCAAAGATGTCTCATACACTGTTACCAGACTCTGCCATCAAGTGTGGGACAGAGAACACTGTTGGAATACTGCAACATTCAAGCCGAAGCCTCTGTTGGCAATAACTGCATTGTCAGTAATGTAGAGCTTCCTTCAGGGGCTAGCATCCCTGACAATACCTTCATGATGACCATCTGTGTTACAGTTGACAATGTCAGTGGGTTGTATGTAACTGTTGTCTTTGGTATTAAAGACAATGTTAAAAAGATGGCACCATCTGATGATCTTGCAAAACTGCAGTACTTTGGCTTACCACTTGATAAAGCAATGTCACTGTTGGATTTGGTGCAGGTAGTGATCTCGTACGTGTTCTCATAACCAAGTTTGGGGTAGCTCAAAATGGTTCAATCCTTTTCCTTATTAACTCTTTACACCCTAACATAAGTACGCATATTCTCCATACTATGTATTTCCAAGGGTACTGACAAGGAGAATTTGTTGAACAATCAAGAGCTTTTTTAATTGGTGATCATTTCCTCTATTCTCTAAACCTAAATGTGTGATTCAGGGGTGATGTTGTAAGGAGAAGTTATATGCTGGTCACTCTGAGGGGCCAAAGG